GAAGATGGTGTGTGATTAGCTCCACATTGTATTTCCAGGCACCAAAGAGGGATTTGCTTCGCTAGGACTGACAATGCCCTCCTTGGTGAGGGAGACCACTGCTGTGTTGCCTGTACGGAGCAGAACTCTGTGGTCTCAAACTACGGGTAGTGCACTGCTTTCAGTTTGAGTTGGTTGATATGGTAGTCCTGAAACTAATGCAGAGGCCATATACCTTAGGATTATTCGTCCAATAGATGCGCTCCCCAACCTTGGGGGGAAGCATCTGTTACCAGAGTCATACATGTACCTGCAGCGAGTGGGTCCAAGGTTGGCCAGTGACGACCACCAGGGTAGGGCTTCCTTCACTTGGTCAGAGATCAAAACCTGCCTATCTAGTTCCCATAGGAGAACTCGTCGTTGTAACAACAAGCGTTATACCGGGCGGCTACGTAGTGCGGCCTGGGGAACCACCCTTCGAACCGAGGTCATCATCCCGATCTGCATTAGTTCTGGGGGGGATACTGAGGGAACGCTGACTAGGAGTTCGGCTAGGCTGCTTAGCGCTTAACAAGCTTACCTCTGTGTCAAACTCCATGCCCAGGAGGAACACCAACTGCGCGTTGGATCGAGATGGGACTTTTTACTAAAGAGCCCAACTGGTGAAGTAAATCCTGTGTTAGCCTGACGTGTTTGGCTAATAACCCCTTCCGGGTTATGTCTAGGTAGAGATTGAGGTGTACTGACATTTGGTGAAGCAGCAGCACTACCTGTTTCATCACTCTGGTGAACACGTAGGGCGCTGTGCATAACCCGAACGGAGGGCACTCGAAATTCAAATACTTGGCCTAGCTGGGCGATTCGAAGGAGATGGCAACTCGCTGGGTGCATCCGTATGTGCAGGTAGGCCCGCTTAAGTCTAGTGGGGCTTACCAGACGAAACAGTGGATGGAGAGAAGAACCCTGAATGGCGTCTTCATGTGGAACCGATCGAGGAGCATGTACTGATTCAGTCTGCCTAGGTCCAGAACTGGACTCCCGCTAGCGGACGACGCCCTAGAGCGTTGTTTTTTCTGTGCTTGGGGTGCCCTCCGTTTACCCTTGGCAGGGCCAACTGGCTAGCGAATGACTCAGCTTGCCGGCGAAAACACACACGTCTAAGGCCGCGTCTCATTGCACAGTAGTGGCCCTGGCCAAGAGAGCCAGGTGACACTAGAGGAAGTTGCACGTCGATGTGCGGTGGCCCACCAGTAAATGTGTCACCTGGTCTAGGAGGCTGGTGCGTTCTCCTCCGAGGTCCCAGAGTCCTGTGCGTCCACAATAATGCGCTCAAGCAACTCTGCCCTCAGGGTGTGATGGAGAGCTGGTGAGAATGCCCATGGAATGCGGCTGTCCTCCTTTACCCGGTTTGCCAAACGGAAACTAGTGGTACCGGGGTCTGAGGAAGGTTCTTTGGGATTCGGTTGTGGGTATTTTGGTCTCATCCCACACTTTGGGATCTGATCCTTAAACCACACCGACCTAGTAGCGGAAAGTGTTGCATAAGATTTTACTCCACTCGGGGGCCTTAAGCGTTACCTCCTCCGCGGCTGACCAATGTACGCCCATCAACATCATTTGCGCACAGGGAGAGACGTGCCAACGGGGATGCTTTGGATCCCGTGATCCCATAAGCGTTGAAGCAACTGTAAGTGGTCGCCTTAGGATCAGGGGTGGGGGTATTTACATCGTATCACTAGGATCGATGAAACTCTGTATCACCCCAAAGACGTGGCTCACCGAGCCGTTACGAATGGAAGACTCTGAGGGACCACCCAAGGTACCGGCTGTATCCGACGCGAGCGAACTGTGTCTCCTTAAATATGTGAGAGAGAGCGTGTTCGACTGTGCGTCTCATGACAGGGTTGGTTCCCTCTGGTGACGCCCGCGGGTCATTAAGAGGAGAGTCAAAACCCACAGCAGAGACCGGACACAAGGGTAAATTCGTTAACGTTATACCATTACCGCACGGCGAACCCTGGCCTCGGAATCTTGGGGTCATGGGGCGTCCCCTGACATAGATTCTATCTCTCCGTCATTTGGCAGAATCGCTGATTAATGCCTACAGTTCAAAATAGTCATTTTGACTGACCGGAGTCTATGGTGGGTAATTGAACATAGTCACTGAAAGCATCCCAATTATTAATGTCACATTCAAACACTTCCGTTGTTTACACCATACATGAAGGCAATATAGCACATTATGATGGAGATGGAATTTTATCACTGAATCTCAACAATCACACAAGCATGAATCTTCTAAAAGCTTTCATTATTAATTAAATTACTATACTGTCGAATACTTTATTTTCGATTGGAAATAATTTTTGCTATTTTCGCTGAAGGAATGATTCAGTGAAAATAAAATTCAGCGAATATACCTTTTTCCTATATTTTACATTCAACTAGCCAAAAAGCGATGAAAATAAATACTATACAAAACACCCAAAAAGTCTTTTCAGCGAAAATTAATTCCAGCTAAAATAAAGTATTTTACAGCAGTTGACATTTTTACAGTCCAAGTGAGTATTGCACATGATTGTGATTGTATAAACAGACAAAATATCAATTTTTGATTTGTATGAAATGCAAGTAAAATTCAATGTAAGCTAATTTTTTTTGAATGCATGTAAATACTAAAAGCAAAATGATATCCACCATGTTTTGTTTTTTATTCACCACTCTGAATGCTGAGCATTTTACAACATTGACAATGGTGAACATAAGACAAAAGTATGATACTTGGCATTAATTTTGGTGGGGAAATTTTTAGAAGACAAAAACTGTTGGTGAAATATTTAATAGTTTTCATTGTCATAACAGGTTATTGTTAAAAATAGGGAGTCTACCCATTCATGCAAGTCACAATAAAATTGTATTCTTGAGTAGATGTCAGTGACTATGAAAAACATAAATTTGATTTAATCACCAAAAAAGGTTGAAATGTTCCAATGATTATACATAAATTAGAATATTCATGGTGTTAATAAAATGTCACAAAGTATGCACATAAACAGTAAGGCATCACTTGTATCTTTGCTACACCTCGCACAATCGCTGTACTGCCTTTTTACATATTTTGCTATAGGTAGAAGTAAACTTGCACTGTACATGTTTTTTTTTATTGTGAAATAATTATGAATGACTGTTTAAATATTGCAAATGAATAAACAAGTCTGAAGACAATGTTGTATAAATAAATAGTCTACAGCTACCGTATTACCCCGGGCACGCGCCCAGGGGCCTGAACATACAAAATCAGGAAAAATTGGAGTGGGCGCTTACCCAAGGACCACCCCAAAAAAGATTTAAAAAAGTTGTTTTTGTGATCGTATGATAAGGTCAAATAAAGAAATGCTTTCGTACACTTTGTACACGTACTTATTTCTTGATTTATGCGAGGTTTCAATAAACGTGAGCACTCGGTCAAGAACTGTGGGAACACTAAGACACAGGGTCGAATTTCAAGAATAAAACTTGTTTTCTGTCAGCGAATGAAGTTGTATTACTCACTGAAATTGGCTACAAAGTATGGTAAGTATTGTAATTAATGCACGGTTACTTTTTTAGTAACCGTGATCAGTGCAAGTCGAAACGGCCGGGAAAAACTACCCTTGTAATCCAAGATGGCAATGACCTCATTAGCATAATTTTGTTCACGCACGTATTGATACATCGCATCATAATTACTGAAGACTAGCAGACAGGGTTATGAAACAAATAAACCTTTTATTACTGATGAGAAATGTTTATAAACTATTGTGAATACATAAACATATTCAAATGGCGATACATAAAAAACAGACTGAAAATAAATTCTGGTCGACCTCATTAACATGATTTATTCCAATCTGATTAAAATCTGATGTAGTGTACGGGCTTTAACTATTGTGGCTATAAACTTAATTTTATTTTATTTTTTATTACTTTTGTTATTAATGCCCTTTTATTTTATTATTTTACTTTGATTTTTTTTTTATTCTGCCCTACCTACATCTGATCCGACGCCTATGTAAGTCCCGTTCAAATCTCGCATAAGTAACAGCCAATCACAGCCCCCCTTTTATACAGGCTGTCAGTTGCTTACTTTTCAGTGTCGCGATACTCTACTCTGTCTTTCTGTACATTATATTTTGCCCACTCGAATAAACCATTAATAGAAAATTGCTAGTATATTTTTATTTGCAAAAGAAATTCCACAGCATTTTACAATTTTTGTCATTACATTGAATATTTTTTTCACTTCCAACAAATGTGTACACTTCCAGATACATCTTCGCCAACCAAGGTTCGTTCATTCAGTCATCGCTTCAATTTTACATCACTGAGCATAATTA